CTGGACCAATTCATCACCAAATTTGAATCTGAGACGTAGAATTTCTTCACCACATTGAGATCTGTCGATTCTACGTCTCAATTTGCTGAAATTTTAAGTAATGAATACTACGTAGTATGAAGTCAGAAAATTTTGTGAAAAGTTGGTAGTTTATAGATGACGTACACCATACATATAATTAATACTAGTAATACATGGTTTTAATACTAGTAATTACCTTGATATTACTACGTAGTATTATTATTCAGAATTTACCCACAGTACTACGTAGTATGAAACGACATGTTTCAATATAATTTTGCTTGGTGTTCATATTGATTTGACAAAGTAGTACCTAGCCAATCAAATCACGTTCTGCGAACACATTCGCTTTCTCCCACGAGGCATATTTCCCTGTAAAACAAAGTAATGAGAGTAATTTAGGATACAGTACTGCTAGGTCATTATGAGAGAGTCTTAATCGAGAGTTTTCGGTCAGCACTTTTATTTCACTGGAGAAAGTACGAAGGGGAAGTATATCGTACAGTGTACCGGTGCTACAGTCGTCACAGCAGTGGCTCGTGAATATACTGGCTGTTGTTATTGTGGATTCGGTATGAATTTCCAGACCCCGTCGAATCGAATCACGAATCGACGCTATTGGCTAATCCATTTTTGAGTAGATTTGATTGGCGCTTACAGAAAGGACAAGTATATTCGACCAATCAGAACTCCAGCGTGATTCAATATTGAATAGACAAACCACGCGAAGTTTGGAAGTTTATAACGAATTTTTACAATATAGTGTCGGCACAAATATATACTTAAGTACTACCGTATACCCCCCGCTTTAGTACCTATGAAAATGACAGTGAAATCTGATCACAACCGATACGGCTCCAAGCAGTACCTTGAAAACTATTCAGGCATGCGCATTGGTCTAAATCCATCACAGGGCTTATATTTCATTGGATGAAAATAATTAACGCATGGCGATTGGATATTTCTGTCCAATTAGAGGCAACTAGGTACACGCCCAACCTGAACCATGAAAATGTTCGTCATTGGCCGATATGTTCCAAACCGGTACAGGTCCAACCCGAGAAATCGTAGGTACTGAAGCGGGGGGTATACGGTAGTATATCACAAGCTTCTTGACAGGCAAACAAACATCTCGTTAAGTTAGACAAACGACGCCGACTTGGTGGCTGATGCCGCGGCGGGAGATCGGTCAAAGACGCCGCTGCTGTTGTTTCGCGGAAAATACGGCCGGGGTGGATTCTAGTACCCCACAAATCTCGGTGTAAACCCCCAATAATCTATATATATATATACCTGATACAGGTACGATGCTTCGTCAGGGCGGTTGGATCCGCTGGCCTCAGGGAGTAGAAGACTATGGTCCAAATGATCGGCCAGTTTGTGGGGGGGGTTGTCGTTGAGGGGGTTCCGTCGGGTGAAGCATAGCAGCAGCGCACAGGGGAGGAATTCCGTTACAATATAAAAACCCACTTCAAACGCGTACGGTGACACCCCGGCGGGAGTCCGATAATGGATCGACGGCACGAGTCCAGTGGCGATGCCAACGAGGTAGACGCTTTGACCGCAGAACAGAATGCAACACATGATGCATACCCACATGATCTACATCATCCGTTGCGTAAGTGAAGGTAGATTGGAAGGGACATGGGTCGCTTACCCGCTGAATGACGATTTGCCGTGGCGTGAGCCCACGATGCAGATGCATATCGAAGAAGAATTCGTCGTCAGGGTGACTCGTTTTGAAGAACAAGATGAGCTGGAGCGAGTAGTACAGCACGGCAAGGAGTCCGAGGAAGTAGAACGCGCCGAGGATGCCCTGCGTCCACTGCCAGAACATGGACGACGTCGTGCAGAGAGCCAAGAGGACGAGGAAGCCCAGGTATAGCAGCAGGTTGCAGATCACGTAGATGCCTTTGTGCACGGGGATGCTCGATGTGTACACGGCCGCAGTGCACAGCTGCGCGTAAAACAAGATCAAGAGCGAGTACGTCGACACAAAGAAGAGCGCGGGGAGTAGCGACACGATCGAAGACTATAATAGCAACTGGACGATCAAGTGCCAAACGGGTATATGAGATAGCAGGACGTACCAGCCATGCGTAGGTGTTGGCGTCGTCCGAGATCAATGCCGCCTCAGAAGTGGCGTCTGGAGTCAAGGACACAGCTAGCATATCCACAGAGAGGCTGACAAAGCGTGTACCAGCCGACAGAAGCAAGAGTGTGAAGAACTGCTTTCTCGTCTCGGATCCGGCCGAGGATTCGGAGCCATTCTGCCCTTGTCCGACCAGTTCACCCCGGAGACACACATATGCCCATACACTGAGTCCAAAGAACAGTCCAATTCCAGGAAGGAGAACCCAACTTAATGCATCGTCCATGGCGACTGTGACGTCCACGCGGCGACACCGCTGATACAAGACTTGACAGAATGCAACCACGAGAATCTTGGTACTTTTGAGACCACTCTCCGGAAAGGTTTGGTATCCGGATAATTGAAACATTTCCTTGCGATTTTGATTTCTTTTGCCAATAAATTTGATGCAGATTTTAAATGTCGCGTACGGATACCATTCAAAACGGTATCCGGCATTTTGACTTTTCTTCCGTTGGTTCCATGAGTCGAAAGCGCGCGAAAGACGCGGCGAATTGGGCGGCACTTCTGCGGCTCACTCCATGCGGCCTCAATCTGACCAAGCTGATCGCTTCGTCCGACGGGGTCAAGGCCTTCTCCACGCAGCTCCAACGGCATTTCGATGGGACCAAGTTCACGCATGTTGGAGTCGGCTGGGACACGTCTCCGCAGCTGTTGGCGTTGGCAGGTGCATTGGCAATGCATTGCGACTGCGGTATCTCCCTCCTTCGCACCGAGATCCAAAGTCGAAACGCAGGAGACGCTTCCGCTATGTCCGTCTTGGTGCTCGTGGAATTGGTGGAAAACGGTGACGACTTGCTAGCGACATTGCATCGGGCAAGCCAAAATGTCGCGGCCCCAAGCGCTGTAGTCGGATTTGCCGCTGTGTGTGCAAAGGAAGAGATCGCGTTCGACGACTTGAACGTGCCATGGTACTGCGGATGGACCCCCAAAGGCGCGAAGATGGAAGTCGCAACGTCCGTCTCTTCCATTCGGCAGTTGGAAAAGTACAGGTTGCGTCATTGCACGACGAGTTACGAAGGGAATCAGCTAGGTGAAGATCGGAGCGAGCATTGGGTGGACGGGGACGTCGCCATGTACGCCGTGTACGACGGCCATGGCGGCGACATCGCCGTGAACTTTATCCACGACACCCTCGGTCGACTCGTCCAAGACGCGTTGCATCTTCGTCAACACGACACGGCCACGAACGAGCATGATTTCAAAGACAATACAGCGGTCGTGGTCGTACCGAGCAAGCGAAAGGCGTCGTCGTCATGCCAGTCGTCGACGAAGGAGTTATTGCGACAGTCGTATCTTGAATGCGACCAGCTGCTTAAAGACAAGCTGACGGCGTATGGTCCGACGGTGAAAGCTTCCCGGGGGTACTGCAACACTGGATCCTGTGCCGTCACTGCTGTCTTTGACGGTATTGTCCCGTGACCACGTGTTGTTGGAATGCCAATACACTAACGACTAACGGCCCGAAACGTGTAGGAGATCGACTGTACATCGCGAATGTGGGCGACTGCCAAGCCGTGTTAGGACTCGAGCGCGAATGCACGCCCTTACACGGCCAGAACTTTGAATGGGATGCCAAGGTCCTGAGTACGTTGCACGACTGCAACAACCCCGACGAAGTCAAACTAGGTATATTGTCCTTTGACTCAAAATATTGGGCTTTTGCGATGCAAACATCGCCAAATTCGATTTTTTGTAACTTACTGAATCATTTTGTATGTAAAACGTTATCCTGTGGTGATTGTGTTCACACTAATTTCAGTCACACACTAATTCAATATTGGTGGTTATTTGCTGCAATCTGATTGGCTCAATTCTTCCTTCCTCTGCGATGATTCATTCTGTACTGTATTTGGTTGTGGTCAATTCGTTCTCCATGTCGCTCCAGTGTAGAATAATCACAACAATGTATCAAAACATCGAGTGCTCATATTAATAGTTGGTGTGTCTTGGCAGTGATTGAACGCAGCAACGACCGGAATGCGATCCGGTTAAGCCACGACGACCAGCTTCGACACGTGGCGGAATACGGAGGCGCGAATAAGCGCGTCGCGGGCAGCCTCATGGTCACGCGGGCGCTGGGCGACTGGTATTTGAAAGCCGACGAGTTCAGTTCCATGCCATACAAGCCCAAAGTCCCGTATATCACGGCTGGTACTTGCTATAACTTTCCTCAAACTTGTCAAGTTTTGACAATAAGTTAACCGTTTTGGATGGGTAGAACCCGATGTGGTGGTGCACATCTTGACCAAGCAAGACAAGTTTGTGATTCTGGCCAGCGACGGACTGTGGGAAGTCGTACCCCCGCTCTTGGCCGTCCAAGTCGTGTCGAATTACGGTATATGGGCGATCGTTTAAATAGCCATCATTTGGCAAACATGTACACACACTAAAATGGAATGTCGGTAGTGTCGACATCGCAACATGTCCTCGACCACCCGATTCCGTCGGCAAGTGCAGCGTTGGTCCACATGGCGCTAGAAGAGGTACATTCGTTGATGCATGCATGCATCCATGGAGATGATATAGGCGGCGCGAAGGGAAGGCATGCCGATGCACGAGTTGCTAGCGCTGGTAAAGGGGCCGGCGCGGCGGAGTGTCCACGATGACATTACGTGCACTGTGGTGTTTCTTGAGCACTAATCCTTGTTGATCCCAACGACATCACCTGGACACTGCCACGAATATAATAACCCATCGACGTACTCGGACCTCCAAGCAACAAAAAGCTGGGGGGTTCGATACTGGTATTAATTGTACGCAGTATGCACTAGAATTGGACAGATTACCGTCAGTTTGCTTTGAGGAGCATACTGTATACACGGTAACCGAACGACCAAGTGTTAAAAACTTTGGTGGAGCTACTGTAACCCTGCGATGTGGGGCTAAATATCCCACAAATGAGATAACGTTGGTTTATTTCCAAAATGACTAAGGCCGGGGTCTGGATGCCACAAAAATGGCATAAAATAGCCGTTTTTCGAAGAAAAGTTGCCAAAATCAAAATATTCCATTTTTCGAGATTTTGTGCATCTGGATGCGACCAAAGTTCAAAACTTTATGCCACAGTTTTCTTGAGAATCGGGTGTTGTATGGCATAAAACACCCGATTCTGTTCATGTTGAAGTCTTGCACTTCACAGTCAATCGGAAATCGAATAATTTTTCCATAATTCAACTGGCATCCAGACAACTTGGTAAATATTTCTTTTCTCCTTTATTTCATGGGATAGGAGACTTTGGGAAATTTTGCAGACTTGCCAAAACGGTTTATGGCATAATTTTATGGGGTGGCATCCAGCCCAGCCCTAACTACTTAGTTCAAGTATAAAAGTTGGCCCATCAATGGTCGACTGTGTAAAGTGCTCAACTTCAAAAAAACCCTGTACATTCCTAAACTGTTTAAGTCAATATCCTTCGAGTTATTCTTAAAGTACTCATCATTACCTATCCGAAAATGTATCATTCCCACTCGGAAAACAAAAAACAACCGAAATAATTGAGATTAAAAATGAAAAAACGTTGGCCGATCAATGGTCGGACACGTTATGCGATTGCGGTATATTATGGCGTGATATGCGACGAGTCATCAAGACCGTCAGCTTTGCATCACCAACGAGATATTTCGGGTTGTTGCGGTGCACAATGGAAGGGCTGCATGTGATGATGATGGCCTGATGTAAGCTTAGAATGAGTCCACCACGTCACAGATGTAACATGACGGTCGACACAGTATCAGTTGCCAAGTACCATCTGGGACACGGTCTCATCCGACGTGCACCACCAGTGTCCATCTGTACTGTACTGCACTTCCGTTGCATGCATGTAAAGTGAACTTGTAGTGGCCACACACACATGTGAACATTACTGCGTCGTCATGCGTTGGATTAGTACGCAGACGATGCTTCCTTCCGAGCTTCGAGTACAACGACGACCACCACCAGTCATCTGATCAAGTCACAAGCCACAGCCAAAATCGGAACGAGTCACCCTGCAAATAACTACTACATAAAGTTATTAACAACTCATGGCACAACTACAGAGAGATGTGTCCCTGTTACCATGGTTTCAACCAAAACGTAGTGGTCTACTGTACTGGTACTGTATATCGACAAGAACGCTTGACCAGTAGTACTACCGTACAGTACATACCCTGCTTCAATACACCTACCTACCTATCAAAATGTCAGTGAAATCTCATCCAAACCGGTACAGCTCCAAGCGGCACTTTGAAAACGCACAGGCCTTATATTTCATTGGACGAATTTTTTTTTAACCCATGGTGATTGGGTATTTTTGTCGAATTAGAGACATCTAGGTACAAGTTCAACCTAAAAAGGTTCGTCCCCGCATTGACTTTTAATCGTTTTGCATATTACAAAATTCGACCAGCTCTGGGATCTCCATGACACAGGACGGCGGCAACAAAAACTCTCGGTCCGTGGTTCCATCTTGCCGATCCCCATGTTGGAGGCCACCCTCAGGGGGATAGTAGTGTCCTGTGGGGGGGTACTCGTACGGGTCGCCAAACGCGTGCATCTCGTCAAAGTCGAGGCTCCGTCGGTGTTTCTTGGGGGGTTCATGGAGGTCGATGCTGTCGTCGTCGTCGTCGGCTTCGTCTGGGCTTTCAACTTTGACCAGTGCATCATCCAACGAAGTCCGTGGCGTGGCTACTCGCGCCTTGGCTCGTCGTCGGCAGTACAGTTGAAACTGGGGGCTCGGCGACGCGCAAATGCATGTCCAGTGGGCATTGTTAGACGACAGAGTGTCGTCTTGTAGCTCAAACGCATACACACACAGCACGTGCTGCGTCACGCTCGTGTGCCGATTACTTGTCCATCCGTAGTGCCATCCGCGCTTGAATGTGTTGATGCTGTAGATGTACCCTTCGTCGTGGGACCCTTGCAGGACGTCGCCAGTATACCACGGGGCATGTATGTTTGCGTCCTTGTTGGACAGGTGGTGGATCTGGGCTTGGGTGAACGTGTCATGCAGAGCCGCGTGACCTTGTGGGTGACCGTCGACGACGCAGCAAAACTCAGCGTAGATGGCGAGTTGGCGCCGCCCGCGGACATGTTCAGGGCGCACCCCCACGAGGACGCTGCCCCCGCAGAAGCCCGTGGTCGCGTGCGTGCCGCTACAACAGTTTGGAAAGCACCGCAAGTTCTTCAGCCCGCCCTTTTTGTTGTTGCGTTGGTATTGCGGCCGAAAGTTGGACGCTGTAAAGTGGATTTCAAATGGTTGCGACTGGTTGCATCCGTCGTCGCCGTGGGATGGGAATTGGGAGTCCATGGAACCGCGCGTCAAGAACCAACGTGGCCTCGGCAGCGGAATTGGATGTATGACATTTTATTCGTATTGAGATGCTGGTCAAGGACACGAGGCTGCTGGGTCATCACGCTGGCCTCAATCAGGTGGTCAGCATCTCCAAGCAGTTGCTCACATGAAAGGCATCTAAAACCGGATAGGGTACTTTAATGAATGCTGGTCGGGTCCACGTTGCTCTTCTCCTTTACTGTACCCGTGTAAGTCTTATTTCGTTGGTGTGTGACATTGCATTGTCTGTGGATGTGAAACGCGAAAACTCGCATGAACCTCCCCCTTGTTTAACTACTGTACGGTACAGTACCGGTAGCATAAGCTGCATCCACGCACAATACCCTTAGAATTCTAGTTTAGTGTTAGACCTCGTCCTCTACGTAGTCGACTGCGGTGTATGTACCGGTAGGATGCCTTCACCAACCCCTGGAATTCCCTCGGTCGAGGCACCCTCGCCATTCAATAAAGTACACGTTTGGACCAAGTTTGAAACGCACGGCCTACTGTACAGAGGTAGAGAAAGGCGTTGGCAACGCATGCATTAAGCAATTTAAACTTGAAATTTGTATGGCTGTTCCATGTGGGCCAAGAAAATGATATTTTAGCCAATCAAATGCCACCAATTCCCTTTTTCAGTGAGCTTTTTAAACGTGGAACGTGGAATAGTTATTACGCGAGCTGATGTTGCCACCACAACGTCCACGTGTCCATCAGGGCTGATCGGTATAAATAATACAGTGGGTGGGTTAACTACCCGCTATGTATCCTCGTGCTTCATTTACGAGGTTTGCTGGCCTTCCACCGTGTATTTCTTAATAGATTCTATTAGACCCCTGGTAAAACCGCCACACCTACGTTGTAGATTCACACGTCGCTACACCCCATCTCCAACGCACTCACGTTCAAGTATATGGCTCTACCCGAGAGATCAACCCAAAAATGAGCATTGTAGGTACAAACCGTATACAATTCTGCACGCGCCAACTTTAACGCGTTGGCTGACCGGCAACATCAAAACAATTCTTGGATCCATTTTCAAGTATCGTTGTACTACATCGAAGTACTTTGTATTAGGACTGTGCCCTTCAAGATCAGGTTATGCGTACTATTACAGTACTATTAATAGTATTAATAGTACAAGTAACGTTACTATTAATAGTACTACGTCGTACTAGCACTGGACAACGACAGCACGTACATCTACTGTACCACCTTCGATGACCTACCTACATATTGGGATCTGCTCTTGAAAGGCCACTTCACTATTGGAGATTCGGTACCGTATGACTTTCCGGACCTTCGATCCATTCTCACCGACCGAACCGGCATCAACTCTGCCATTGGTCGCTCCGAATTTATTTATCGCTTATTGGCTGTAATCCATTCGATTTTGTAACTGGAAAGGATCAAGTGGATATTAGCCAATCAGATGTCTCGCCTCTATTGTCTTTGATATGGAAAATTGGGAAATTCGAAGGACGTGTTGAAATTTGAAGAACGCCTTCCAAACTGCCCTACAGATAGAACAACTGAACTAACACAACATAAGTTTGAATCATTTCGATGCTTCCTATGCCTGTGCCGTCCCTACTAGCCTGCTACAACGGCGAATGACCCATTGGACCACTTCACCATGAACTCGCTGATCATCCACGAAGTTCACGAATTTGGCTCCATCTAGTCTACAGGTACGCTAGGGATAATAATCCCTTGCTTTTCCTTTGCTTTCAATTTTTACGGAAAAAGTAAAAAGAGAAGTCATCTCCCAAATCTCCCTAATACTTTGAAGTATATTGTGCATTTCATCCAAGTTTGGACTTGTGAGTCATTTGCCAAATATCATTCGATTGCCCTATGCGATCAAACGCTTGGATTGGCAGAAATTAGATAGTACGTGAATTTGATTGGCTTATGTGGTTCTTTAATCCATTCTCCTACGACATTCGATTCTTTCGATTTGACAATATTGTGCATTTCACCCAAATTTGGACTTGTGAGTCATTTCGCCAAATAGCATTTGAGTCTATTTGATGCTATTTAATCTTGTATAATGTAAAAAATCAATTTAAGACACATCAGTGGAATGCGGCTCTGGAAAATTTCCAAATCTCCACGCTCAGGCAACTTTTTCAACCTCCGAAACTTGGAGATTATAGCTGAAATAATGCTTTACAGACACATACCGATTATATTGTGTTTTGCAGTCGTAATGCAAGAGAAATACATCAAAAACCAAGCAAATTTGATACCATTTTGAGAATTAGTTTACGACACTTCTGTTGTTAGGATTCTCCCTTTTCCGGATAGACATAAAGAGGATATTTATTTGCAAAGGTTTGCTTCAAATGATTTTGGGCCGTTTGATTGGTTCTTGAACATACTCCCTCTAATCCATTTTACTTGGGCGAGTTTTACGACGGTAGACATGACATCAAATTAAAATACGAGGTGAAATTCAAAATCATCTTCGTCCCCCCTGAAAGCAAAGTTCGTCACTCTGATTGGACCAGCCGAAAGAGCGCGAAACAGGCTTCAAAATCATGTATTTGTAGAGGCAAATGCTGACCTGGACGATTTGATTTCCGAGTTTTCTCGTCATCATACATATACGTAAAAACATACATTCTACTGATCAACACTCCAACTTGTTGCCTTGCCTCACTTACAAATGGCGCCAGGTCGGCGCGAGTTGACAAACACTGAGCACGAGGCAATCCTGCGAGAGTCTCTGATGCGCAGCAATGGCACCTTCATGACCAAGATGCCTAAAGGGTTAAGCTCCGAGCTCGCTGCCAAGTACAGCTGCCATGTGTCATGCATTCGCCGTATATTGGCACGTGCAAAAGCACAGGGCATTTGCGACGGCAACATGCAGGTGATCTATAGAGGTTAATACATTTGTGTTGTATAAATGTTAACAAGTGGTGCATGCAGGTCAACGTTGCCAGTCAGAAGAAAGGGCGAGTAGGTCGTAAAGTCGCGCACACTCCATCTCAAGTGAAGGAAAAACTCCTTGCAGTGCCACTGTGTTACAGGACAACGTTAAGGTCACTGGCTTGTCAAACCGGTTTAAATATTGATTGGATTTTTATTTATTGGAGTAACGGTTTGATATTGTTGATCCACGTAGGAATTAGCTTTGGATCGCTCCAACGGTATTTGAAAAAGGGACTCCTTCGTGCGCATTCAAGTGCAATCCGGCCGATTTTGACGAGCGCAAACAAATACTGTCGACTGAAATATGCCCTCGATTTTGTCAAACCCAACTTCGAAATGTCGGAAATGCTAAACCATGTTCACTTAGACGAAAAATGGTTTTATCTGACCGGACAAGACCAAAAATACTACCTCGTTCCTGGCGAAAGCGAGAATGACAGAAAGTGCAAGAGTAAGCGATATATTACGTAGGTCATGTTTCTTGCTGCGGTTGCGCGCCCTCGGTACCAGGAAGACAGCTGCGAGTGGTGGGACGGCAAGATGGCCCTTTACCACACTCGCCGCTGGCCAACGGTCAAGCGCCAATCGATCTGCTGGGACGCTCGAAACCAAAACTGTCAATGTCACAAAGGACGTCTACCGGAATTACCTCCTCGAAAAGGTCTTGTCTGCAATCGTGCGAAAGTGGCCTGGCGACACGAGGGACATCATCCTGCAGCATGACAAGGCGAAGACTCATGTGACTGTGTCAGAAAAGCGTCTCCAGCAATCGTTCGATACCTACAAGTCAGCCGGCTGGACTTTCCGACTTGAGCCGCAACCGCCGAACTCTCCTGACTTCAACGTCTTGGACTTGGGGTTCTTCGCTGCACTGCAGTCTCTCCAGCATCGACGAGCTAGTGGACAAGGTCGAAAATGCCTTCAAGGAGTACCCATCGGATCGATTAGACCGTACCTCCATGACACTGCAGGCGTGCCTTCTGGAAGCGATGAAGGTCCACGGCGACAACATCTACAAGATCCCGCATCTGTCAAAAGAGATGAAGCAACAGCATGGAATGCTTGGCCGCAATGTGGAGCTCCATGCCGACGCCGCTGGTATGTTACAAACGTGCGACAGGGAAGCCATGGATGCAGCATGTGCTGCCGAACTGACCGACCTCCGCGAGATGGATGAGCTGTCAAGAGTGTTGGAGGAGATGACACTCGGCGGCGACGACCACGAAGATCTGGCACATGCGTTAGTTGAAGTGGGTATTGACGCGATAGACCTTAGTAGTAGTGATGTATGAATATGCAACCTCGATAACGTACGTGTTGGTACTTGGTAGTTCTGTTGTGCGCGTTGGAGGGTTGTCGGTGTTGTTGTATTGTGATTATTGGAATTCGTAGGAACTAATTTCGGTGGAATGTGTTTTGTCGAATGAAAATGTTTTGTTCGTTTGATTGGTTCAATTCGTGAAACCAGACCACATGCGCCATTCCAATTTCCACGCTGACATTGACAAGAGCAAGGCGGCACAGCGTGTCTGACCCCGTCGGGCTCTTTACTATGCCCATGCAATATCTATGTCCTTTCCGACTCTCATGAATCTGTTTATGAGTATGTGTCTACCGATGCTGGAAGACTCCGAGTGCAGTCCCACCTGCCCACAAGGTACGAACAACACATCCAACTCACACCATGTTCTAACATCACTGTTTAAACGCTCTCACTAGGTCACTGCAGCTCGCTTGTTTCGTTTGCGGTAGGACCGAGGATCTGAGGTCGGCTCGATTGTTAGACAAGTCTGGCGGCCGTCGACATACGTAGTTGTCCATCCCGTACAAATCGAGAACGTGCGTGTTGGAATAGTGTCCAAAAGGCCATTGACGACGGCAAACGATGCTACCAGATTGCACTGGCCGAAGGGTATGGAGGTGAGCCTTGCTTGTCCATGTTGAACTGAGATATTCGATCCATAATGAATTCCCATTCGTAATACTCTTTGCGTTCGGATGTCAGGGACAAATCACGAGTAGATATTTTACGGAACGGTATGATCTTCTGTTTGCCACGCCGCTATAAACTCCATGCAGTAGCCAAATCGACACTCGGGAATTTGAAACCTTTCGGAAGCATGTGCAACAAGCCTCCTCAAAAAATCTCAGAGCTGTTCGGATCGACGTCGTTAGTCGGTGTTGGGGATGGAGGAGCACCAGGTCGTACTTGTTGTACCACGGTTGCGATAGCTTGGGAAAGAGAGCTTTCTAAAGACGCCTGCCTGATGTTACAAGCAGTCCACGATCTGGCGAACACCATTTAATACGACAGCAGGCATACTTTGGATCGACTTTTCATTTCGATCCAGTTGCCGTAGTAACTCCATGTGGGGGGGATGCCTGAGGCAAACAAGAACGTGGACTCGGTCCCAGAAAATACCAAAGGTCGCAGGGTTGACACCAAATCGTTGCTAGCAAATAACGGCGTAGACAACAGGGGGAGGATGAACTGGCCAGTCAATAAATCGTGGGGATGCACGAGACTGGCCAATAAGAGGCGCAACACACCATGCAGTTGACTTTGGCCAATTAGACTTGGATAAACCATTGCCAAGGCATTGTTGACCAAGGGACACGCCAAGTTGGAGAAATGGGGGGGGCAGTTGAGACAAGTTAGCACCATTTATTGGGAGCCCGCAAACAACACGACCACTAAATTGATCGCCCGCTCCAAAACATTGTCCAAGGACCACCCACACCGCAAACATACACTAACATTGGACGGCCCACCTGCGTTGCCCAACGACACAAATGTTGCCGAGCCTTTTCGGATCGAATGCGTACCAGTATCGTTCGCTTTTTTGTGGCTCCCAGCAGCCAATCGCTGCAAGGAGGACAACAATCGCCCAAGGCTTTTGCCAAAGCGATCCTACCATTTTTAATTCTTTTTATTTGTACTTTGCATACAAAAAGTGTAACTTTTGTTTGCTCCAGGAAAAAGTTTGTTTGGCAAGATTTGTGCGTTGCATGCCAAGTATATTCCCAATGCTAAAAACAAGCACACTTGCGGTTTTAAGGGATGCGCAAAGCAATGCTTTAGGTCCTTGTTTTTTGTTCCTACAAATAATTTAACGAATTGATTCCACGGAAACCCATCAAAACAAAGTTAAGTATTTTACCTTCTTGACTCGTCTTGGTTTATGAAAGACGAACCCAATGGCATCGCCCTCGCACGACATGTGCTCGAATCTACCGCATCATTGATTACGATACGTGAATGTTTTAAAAGGACTAATATTTTTATACCGTATCGTCTCCGTGGATTTGGAACGGCACATCAAGTTCCACGTGATAACTAGGTAGAGATGCGTAAATCCGCAATCGGGAAGACCCATGCTCGCCGCGCGGAGATGCTCAAGCATCGATAACGACATTGGACGCTTGCCAGTGAATTCCTTGGACCCATTTTGAAGGTTCTGGGCGACGGACTTTGAATTCCTAAACCTATATTACTTTTTGCGAAAAATATAGAATTATGTACCCGAAAAAATGACCTTCATGTCCCCATCATATGGCTCAGGGAGAGCAACACCTTGATCGATGTACAAACTCTTGACTGCACTGCGGTATCCGTTTAGGGCGCCCAGGCCAACATCTCGCTCCCGATCAGTCCAGACAATGAGCTCCAAAAAGTTCTCGTACGCAAACACCCGCAGATCTAAGGTCATGGGACCCCATCCTCGGTGCTTGGCATCAGGAGCTCTGGCTTCCCTGCCATAACAGCCCAGTTGACTACCTGCTTGATGACGGACAAGTATCCGGGCCGGGAGCTGTCTGAGATGCGACTGCGTCGCGCTCCTTCGATGGTGAAATCGCTGTTGGTACTCATGTTGATTTATAGGAGCCTCCCATCAACTGCGTCCTATTGGTCGCCTTTTTTCTGTTTTTCATCTATTTGATTGGCTATCCACATCGTAGGAAAATCCTGCCTGTAAAAATGCGTTATTTACCGCCGAATTTGATACCAAGATAAAGAATTTCGGATGACCATATTTGAATCGATTTGACAATATCTATCGCTCGATAGAGCTTGACCTCTTCACTCTTAATACCGTTGTTTTTATCCGGCCATGTGGTAGTTTATCCGTATGCCCATCGTTCCCGTGGCCACTTTCGATCACAAACGGCTTCATGGGTGCGACCAGTTCAGTATTACTTCGAATTAGGTATTTTACACCTCTGCACTACTACGTAGTACAGTGTAGGTACGACACATTCACGAGCCAACGCCATTCATTGGCTACAAGGATCACGAAGTCTTGCTAAGGGTTACGTTGATTGACTGTGGTTAGCGATTTGTGGTCATTTGAGATAGGGACGGGGTGTCGGGGCTTCGGGGTTACAGGGTTACGGGTTAAAAACCGTGGTTTTAGCAATGATTAGACTAACTGTAAATACAAATTGTATGAATCTTTGTACCTACCTACACTGTAGTTCAGAGGTGTAAAATAACTATCACTGGCCAATTTCCAGTGCGTGCACTCCAGTACGTCGTCCACATGATGCCACGTCATGAGCCTTGTCTAACGACGCGTGGTGCACTTCAGGCAACGACTACAAGCTCGTGATCACGCAAAGGAACTCGAGTACGTTTTGGACAGGGCGTTCAGCCAAATTCGATGATGTTTATCGTGTCCGAATAATGTTGGTTTGACGATGTTTATCGTCCCAAATCAAGGTAAAAATGTATGTTTCATGCCATTAACGGGATCAAAGGTCAATTGTAACAGTAAATACCACCCAGTGTTAGGGGAAGTTCCAAGTAGTTTTCAGAAATAGCATGGGCCAATCAAAATCGATTTATCTAATTTTTTTCACGATTTAGAAAAGACGTCAAGGACCTCTTGTTTTACTTTTGGTAAGTGAGTTGCGTAATAAATCGCACAAAAAGAGGTAAAAAAGTAGGAAACTGTACTTGGAACCAATATTTCCTTTTTCTAAACATATCTACTTGGAACAGGCCCTTGTGCTTGCTCCCCACTTTAAGTCGTACTGATTTGCCCATTTCTCCCACTTTAAGTCCTAAACTTTTCTAGTGTTTTTTCACTGGCACAGCTATCCGGAATCAAAAACACCTGGACGAACTTTCTTGGGATGTGCTAAAATTGGAATGTATGCAGAGGAATGTTAGTCAATTTGTAGGTCACAGAAAAAAGTTTGTGTAATCACGGGATTGACCATGTACCTTTGTGTTACGATTCTGACATCCCAACCGCTAAGCTACCGGTACAGTGCTTGTACAAAAAGAGTTATTTACAATAGACCTCTAACTCAGAGGATGAATGAATGACCAGTCACAACCTTGTTTATCAAGTACTCAGCATTCAAATAAAACCACTACAGATTGACAAACAACTCACTTTTCGACGAAATAGTGGGATGTTTTTGTAATCTAACGTTAGTAACCCATTTCCAAACGTGGTACAGGTACAGGTAACTAACTGCATTGGAATTGGATCACAGTAGTACTTGCATATTTTTATACTTGGCCAAAAAAATATCAAATGGATGCAGGAAGTTCCATTTTAGCCAATAAGTGATCGACAAAATAGCGAAGTCCCATTCGTCAGATTCGAAGGTAACAACACCTGCCGCGAACGTTTCAAAATTCAAATATTGTTAACAATGATTGGCTAGTGAATATCGCGCGTATGACACTTACGAAGCATGCAACCCAAGCCTGTGGCGAAACGATTCTACCGACGCTACAACGTCCGCAACATTCGCGTGTCAAGGAAGCTCAAAAGCACTCCGACCGTGTTTCAGTGTTGCTCAGCATCTGAGCCGACGGTGAGAAAAAGCTTATGCACCATTGACTTATGTATTCTATAGGATGAAAGCTACCTCAGTTGATCATCGTGAAAGGGACGCCTGGAGGAACCATTGACTACGATGAGCTGCCGACGTACCCACCTGGTGCGGTCTATGCTGTCCAGCTGCACGCGTACATGGACCACGATGTTTGAGCTATCTGCTTGCAAGAGATTTTGAAGTTTGAGGTTCAGGGACCAACAGTCATCGTGGTAGACAATCTGCACCCCCACGTGTCGGATCGTGCGAAGACAATCATTGAGGTCGAGCAGAACTGCTCTGCTACATTGGCCCAGCTTCCGGCGAATTCAACCAGTTTAGTTCAGCCCCTGGATGGGGGTATTATGGTCCCATTTAAGTCTATATGTCGCAAAGAGTGGTTGTATGAGGAGAGGGTTCAGACGGCAGCTGAAAAGCGTCTCAAACTGATTCAGAGGGTCATCAAAGTTTGGGGTATGGTTAGCTCCTCAATGATAGTACGTTCATTTGAAAAAGCCCTGCCCAACGTAGTTGAGTTGTAACTATGTAATGCAGGTATTCGTTGGTGTCTATGTGCTCGCTGGGAGGGTTGCCGGTGTAAACCCCCTTCTGAATCCGTTGGAACTGTTCATTTTGTGCGCAGGCTTGATTGTGCCGAATATGCGACATGGTTTTCAGAGGTCTCTATTGGTTACTTATTGACCAATCTAAGACTGTTTATTGTACACTGTATCGTATTTTAATCAATCTGATTAAATATTTTTAATACCCTGTATTTGATCCACCTTCATTTTATATGATGATTTGTATGCAGTCGTTGTACCACTCTGATCCAATTCCAATGCAGTTACCTGTAATTCCAATGGTCAATATTACAGAAATCCGATTTCGAACCTATATATATTAATTATTAGGGCAATTCGTTAACAGATGGAGCCAATCGCTTAATTTTAACCTATCACCTTTTGATAAAACTTGCATCAAATTATTCAAATCAAGTACATATGCCTAGCGAAAGCACACATTTGGGATATATCCCAAAAAGAACGAAACACGGCGATTTTCGATTTCACTGTTGTAGCCCATGTCAGTGCCACTTCCACCTGCATCCGCAGCAGCAAGAGAGATCTCGGAAGCCATGACCATCGACAGCCTCGCCTTGCGCTTCGAGCGATAGGTACATGTCGCTGTATTCTTGATCTTGACCATCTTGGCGCCAATAGCGTTCAAGCAGTTGATGTACTGCGAGTTCGCGTCGCCGTCTTCAGCGCGAACGGGATGGAATCGAACGTATGTATTCGTGAACGCCAAACAGGTCTGAAACACAACATCGTAAGTCTTACGATTCCAGCGGTAGGTGTCGCTACACACACCCCAAACCGTCTTCAGACACCCGAAGAAGTCGACAATGACACGGTCGCTGGCGATGCGGTCGTTCCGGCGCAGTTCCTCAAACGTAACAATTCCACCCATGGGCTTATTGAGTGACTGCACGGCTCGGACATCCTACTGGGCCCCTTGATAACCATTGTCAACGAGTACTGCCCAACGTAGTTCTCGATCAGGCCCCAGGTCGTCGGCGTCAGCCATTTCTATGCCAGTGGCTTTCTTGCAGAGGTTGGCGGCGTGGAAGTCGAGGTTCTCGTCGAAGATGGTCTAGTCGGAAATGCTGTCTTTGTAGTAACCTATGTAATTAATAGCAAAGCTATTCGGTAGGACCGAGGCTTCGATCTTGTGACCGTACAGGTGGTTCTTGCCACTGTAGAACAGTTTCTTCTCGACATACCAGTCGGAGGGGACATTGGTCCGCTGGAACGTCACATCCGTAGCGTAGCGAGCGTAGGGTAAGTTCTTGATTTTGTGGCTGTCTGCATCGAGTTGATTTATCGTCCATTTCTCCCCCACGGCAGTCACGTACTTTCGCATGCCAAATGGATGCAAAGCCGTAAAAAACTTCGTGACGCGCTTTTCGAAGGTGGCTACCTTCTGTTTAAACACGGTTGCAACAACGTCCCACGCCCCACAATGCTTGAGCGAGGTAAGCAGCATGAGAAGGAAGTCCGAAGCTGTCACTTCGGACTTCCGCCCCGAGCCGACATTCCAGTGCTTGAAGAGGTACGATGGAACGTCAGCCCAAAGTATGTTGAATTTGAAGGGACTGAAGTTGGCCATCGTCAGGCTCCCTTCGGGACCTTGGGCCTCCAAGAATGCGTCGAATATGAGAGCAATGGAGTCGGTGTCGGTATCAGGTTCGTCAGCAAGTTGTGTGGAGTAGCGATTTCGATGTTGCTGAGCAGCGATACCCCTTGGTTGAGGCTACGTGTCGTCAACGAGGTGGGCTGGGGCGCTTGCAAGCTGGTTTAGCGTGCCATTTAGTCGATTTGTTGTTATTATCGAGAAGCAGTCGATGGTTTTGGAAATGTCTTAGGCTTTTCCAAAAACATTAACTGGTACGTCATTGCTCACCACCAAATAAAATGATGGCTGTGTGTATGTTTGAATACTCGTGGCACGTGCATCGTATCAAAGCTCTAGTGGTTGTGGCTCCGCGACCTTCCTTGTTCGACCAACCAACAACTATCATACCCGAGTCATCGTACCCGCTCCTCATGGAACAACCGTCACAACATGCATATGTCCTTGCGCAACTGACTGCGCGATGGAAGATATCGTCCGGTGTCCTGGACGTCACTGTCGTGTCCGTCGTCACAGCCACCGCTACCTTCGCGTCCCTCTTTCATGTCGGTGCCATCAAAGTCTCACCTACCGTCTTCTACAAGACATTTCTCCCATACGTGGCAGTTTTCTGCGACCACCACGTCCGCCTACGCGATTTTTTCCCCGCCTCCTTCTGCATCATCGTCGGTCAAATCCCAGCCTCCTCCTCGTCCCAGGCCTCACTGAACGATGTGTACATGTCCATGCTGCTCGATCAGCTCGGCATTGTGTACCTCTTGGGGCTGGTACAGATCCTGTCCAACTTTATCGACTTGTCCG